TGATGAGCCACCTTCCGCAGCAAAGATCTTCTTCACATATTGTTGCCTTCTCTACAGCGCTTAAGGACAAACCTTTCCTTTTTTACCCCACCGGGACCTATTTTTGGCCTATTAGGACACTCCTTCAGCTCAGAGGTTGCGATTGGGTTTATGGGATTTGGCCTGGCAACAAAGGGATGATTGCTAGTCTTTTTCATTGTTTATTATTGTTGCTGTTGTTTTTGTTTTGGTTTGTTTTTTTGACTCCTTTGACCTCCATACATCTAAGTACATCTCTGTCATGTGCATGTATTTGTTCATGACTGCTGTTTTCCTGCTTTGCAATAAGAAGTTCAATTTAAAAAAAGAATCCAAAACTCCTGCTGCCTTTAGTTTGAGCCTTTTGTATGATGACATACTGAGATTTATTTGAGAGAACGAATCTCAAATCTCATAACAGTTGAAAGTTTATATACATGTATATCTGGCATGCGCCTGGGCCTGCTCACTCACCCTTGTTAGATGCTGGAACCACCTCAACTGGCTCCTTTTAGTGTAGAGGAGTAGCGGCTCTATTCTGAGCCCCTCCCAGGTGGCCGAGCTCCTCAGCCCCTCTCTGAGGCAGAGGCCAGCCAGTCTTTGGAGGACGCTCGTTTCTGCCACTTATATGAGCAATCTCTTTCTTTCGCTCAGTACTCAGAGCTTGTGATCATAGGTGAGGGTAGGGACATCGATTATTATTATTATTAATCATTTGGGGCAGCACAGCGGCGCGGTGATTAGCACTGTTGCTTCACAGCAAGAAGGTCCCGAGTTGCATCCCACCACCTGACTGGGGCCTTTCCGTGTGGAGTTGTTCTCCCCGTGTTTGTGCTCCAGCTTCCTCCCACAAGTCCCAAGACATGCAGTCAGTGGGGTAACTGGAGACTGTGAATGTGAATGGTTGTCGGTCTATTTGTGTCAGGTTGGCGACCTGTCCAGGGTGCACCCTGCCTCTCGCCCCACGATGAGTAAAAAAATTCCAAATATCAAAAGCAACAGTTTAAGTGTCTGTTTATGGCGACTTCATGTTGTACATTCATAAACCGACAACAGCAATACATGTTAAGAAAATATCAGTTGTTTGGACTTATCAGAGGACTTTTGTGCATGAGTTCAGAAGAAAAGTTGAACAGAACCTTGCACTATTGGGACTTTAGTTTTTTTATGGCTCTATGTTCTGCAAATTTTCAGCAACAAATCATTTGCTTCATAATCTGCTGAACAAATGACATCCTGTATCCTAGAAGAGGAAAACTCTTCTTAGCCAGCACATCTGTTGGATAAGAAAGGACCAATAACTCTAGTTTTACCAGACGTTGGATAATACTTTCTATATTTTCTCATGTGCTTCTTTCTTGTGTTATTTCAGGGCTCCTGTGTGCCTCAACTGAGGCAAGTCTCCTTTTGTGCAATGGAAGTGAAGGGATGCCGCCAGCGCTGGAAATTAAATCGCAGAGAGCTACAGAGCAAGAGATGCTCAACTCCAGAAGTCACTGAAAGAGTCAAGATAGAAAAGGGGGACAAGGAAGAGCCATGCAAAGGTGTTACCATGGCAGCAACCTCCAAGTATCTGACAGGCAGGCAATATCTCACTAGGAAGCCTCTGTTTTCTGTAGAAGAGCATGTGTCTATCTTAAAGAAGACACGTCCACAGAG